TTCAGGACAGGTGTGCCTCACTTGAAGTCACAGTCCAGCACTGTAAATGCTTCTGATGAATTCCTTGCTTGGCATTGCAGATATATCTGAATGCATTTTTTTTGGGTCTTATCTAGGAAATTCTTCGTGGATGGTGAGGGCCACATCCTGCTCCCCGTCCCCTTCAGTGCTGCGATGCCTGGCTATAGGCTCTTCAGAAGGGACAGGCAGCATGGAAGGGGTGGCGGTGTGGCTCTCTATATTAGAGAGTCTTTCGATGTTGTAGAACTCGAGGCTAGGAATGACAAGATCGAGTCCCTTTGGGTTAGGATCGGCAGGGACAACAAGGCTAGTGTCCTGGTCAGGGTCTGCTATAGACCGCCGAACCAGGATGAGGAGACGGATGAGGAGTTCTACAGGCAGCTGACAGAAGTTGCGAAATCGTCAGCGCTTGTACTCGTGGGGGACTTCAACTTCCCAGACATATCCTGGAAGCACAACACAGCCCAGAGGAAGCAGTCTAGGAGGTTTCTGGAGAAAGTGGAAGATAGCTTCCTGACGCAGCTGATTAGTGAACCTACCAGGGGTGGTGCCCTGCTAGACCTTCTCTTCACAAACAGAGAAGGACTGGTGGAGGATGTGATTGTCGGGAACAGTCTTGGGCAGAGTGACCACGAAATGGTGGAGTTCTCTATTCTTGGCGGGGCCAGGAAGGGAACCAGTAAAACCACTGTATTGGACTTTCGGAGGGCTGACTTTAGGCTGCTCAGGACACTGGTTGGTGGAGTCCCATGGGAGGCGGTTCTGAAGGGCAGAGGGGTTCAGGAAGGCTGGGTGCTATTCAAGAGGCAAATCCTAATGGCACAGGAGCGGTCTATCCCCATGTGCCCAAAGATGAGCCACCGGGGAAGACGACCAGCCTGGCTCAACAGAGAATTGTGGCTTGAGCTTAGGAGGAAAAAGAGGGTTTATAATCTTTGGAAAATTGGGCAGGCCACTAGGGAGGACTATAAGGATGTAGCGAGGCTGTGCAGGGACAAAATTAGGAAGGCCAAAGCTCATCTGGAGCTCAAGCTGGCTACTGCCGTTAAAGATAACAAAAAACGCTTTTATAAATACATCAACACAAAAAGGAGGACTAAGGAGAATCTCCATCCTTTACTGGATGCGGGGGGAAACTTAGTTACAAGAGATGAGGAAAAGGCGGAGGTGCTCAATGCCTTCTTTGCCTCAGTCTTTAGTGGTAAAACCGGTTGCTCTCTGGATACCCAGTACCCAGAACTGGTGGAAGGGGACGGGGAGCAGGATGTGGCCCTCACCATCCACGAAGAACTGGTTGGTGACCTGCTACGGCACTTGGATGTGCACAAGTCGATGGGGCCGGATGGGATCCACCCAAGAGTACTGAGAGAACTGGCAGAGGAGCTGGCCAAGCCCCTATCCATCATTTATCAGCAGTCCTGGCTATCGGGGGAGGTCCCAGCTGACTGGCGGCTAGCAAATGTGACGCCCATCTACAAGAAGGGCCGGAGGGCAGACCCGGGGAACTACAGGCCGGTCAGTTTGACCTCAGTACCAGGGAAGCTCATGGAGCAGATCCTCTTGAGAGTCATCATGCGGCACTTGAAGGGCAAGCAGGCGATCAGGCCCAGTCAGCATGGGTTTATGGAAGGCAGATCCTGCTTGACGAACCTGATCTCCTTCTACGACAAAGTGACGCGCTGGGTGGACGAGGGAAAGGCTGTGGATGTGGTCTACCTTGACTTCAGCAAGGCTTTTGACACCGTTTCCCACAGCATTCTCCTCAAGAAACTGGCTGCTCTTGGCTTGGACTGGCGCACGCTTCGTTGGGTTAGAAACTGGCTGGATAGCCGGGCCCAGAGAGTTGTGGTAAATGGAGCCAAGTCCAGTTGGAGGCCAGTCACTAGTGGCGTCCCCCAGGGCTCGGTGCTGGGGCCGGTCCTCTTTAACATCTTCATCAATGATCTGGATGAGGGCATTGAGTGCACCCTCAGTAAGTTTGCAGATGACACCAAGCTAGGTGCGTGTGTCGATCTGCTTGAGGGTAGGAAGGCTCTGCAGGAGGATCTGGATAGGCTGCACCGATGGGCTGAGGTCAACTGTATGAAGTTTAACAAGGCCAAGTGCCGGGTCCTGCACCTGGGGCGCAATAACCCCAAGAAGAGCTACAGGCTGGGAGAGGAATGGCTGGAGAGCTGCCAGGCAGAGAAGGACCTGGGAGTGATGGTGGACAGTCGGCTGAATATGAGCCAGCAGTGTGCTCAGGTGGCCAAGAAGGCCAACGGCATCCTGGCTTGTATCAGAAACACTGTGACCAGCAGGGCTAGGGAGGTGATCGTCCCCCTGTACTCGGCTCTGGTGAGGCCGCACCTCGAGTACTGTGTTCAGTTCTGGGCCCCTCGCTACAAGAAGGACATCGAGGTGCTTGAGCGGGTCCAGAGAAGGGCGACGAAGCTGGTGAGGGGCCTGGAGAGCAAGTCCTATGAGGAGCGGCTGAAGGAGCTGGGCTTGTTCAGCCTAGAGAAAAGGAGGCTCAGGGGTGACCTTATCACTCTGTATAAGTATATTAAAGGAGGCTCTAGCGAGATGGGGGTTGGCCTGTTCTCCCATGTGCCTGGTGACAGGACGAGGGGGAATGGGCTAAAGTTGCGCCAGGGGAGTTTTAGGTTAGATGTTAGGAAGAATTTCTTTACTGAAAGGGTTGTTAGACATTGGAACAGGCTGCCCAGGGAGGTGGTTGAGTCACCATCCCTGTAAGTCTTCAAAAGATGTTTAGATGTAGAACTTAGGGATATGGTTTAGTGGGGACTGTTAGTGTTAGGTCAGAGGTTGGACTCGATGATCTTGAGGTCTCTTCCAACCTAGAGATTCTGTGATTCTGTGATTCTGTGAAATTATTAAGGAATGCTGACTGTTCCTTACAGCAAAAACCCATGATCTAGGGAGAAAATCAGTATGCATAGAAGCTGTGATTGTCCAAGCTCACCTAGCAAAACCAAGACTAGATCAGAAACTACTTGATTTAATTTGCAAAGTAGTCTTCTGTCTAGCTCTTAGCCCTTGTAAACTGCTCAGGGTCTTGCATTGTTTGTTATCATGCTTCACGTTTCCAGCTTGTTAACTAGAAGTTTCTTTTGAAATCTGTGTGGCTGTGACATCAATAGATTAAGATTTTTCTTCTCGCACTTCAACATTGTATGTAGACTTTTTTCATTGTTGTAAAAGAACTGGGGGATAGAATGACGGGAACTGTATCTGAAGTAACATGAGCTAATAAAGTCCTTTTGTTCATTTCGGATTTAAAGAAATGTTATTTTCTAAGAGTATAAGACTATAAGAGTCAGATGAGCTGGAATCATCTTTTTAAACCAGAAACAGTGAGCTTTATTCACTATTTCGGAGAACTTATCCAAGAAATAGGAGATCTGGTTTAGGGGGTGTTTTCCAAGAGTATTACCTAGCTACTGGGGAATATACTATTCTCTTATATATTATAATAGCATAATCATAATATAAAGTGGAAACAGCATTCATTTTGAAGATGAGAAAAAACAAAACAAAACAAAAACAAACAAAAAAATAACAAAACACAACATAAGGCCAGAAAGAACCCCAACAGAAGAGTGTTTAATAGCTAAGTACTCGTAAGTGGGAGAAATAGGTTCTGTTTTATACTTATTGGAAGGTTTGTACATTTATTGTTAACTATTACTGTATTAAAAAACGATCTTGAAAACATTCAGTCCTGGGACTGGAAGAAAGAGTCTCTGTTCTACTGGAACTGGTTTAAATGGCATCATTGATGTGGTCTCTGCTGTTTGTATGTGGATATACATGTATTTATACACATATGTATGCATGTGTAAGGCAACCTTTAAGCATCCCTATGGATCAGTGCCTTCTAAGGTCTACAGGTGGACCTGAAGTGCTGCACACCTGACAGCTGGATTACAGCACTGTTTAGTCAGAACATATGTGCCTAGCTGTTTTGCGTGAGAGATGAATTCCTGCAGAAAACAAACTGTATTAAAGGCTAAGAAAATTGAAGAGATTTTTTTTTTTCCTCCTCACAATGCTGCTGTCAGGTGAGTTCAGGTGTGAAATATGTTCAGTGGTGTCTACAGCACTATATTTCTGAATTCCTTAAATTCTGTTTTAGCCACATAAACTACCTTTAGACCATGCTGTTAGCCTTTCTGAGGCTTAGAGTATTATCTACAAAGTAGTGGCAAAACTATAATGGGGGTAATAATGGTAATGTAAAACAAATGTGGCAATATAAAGAGGGATATAATGGCAGTAAATGCCAGGTACTTGCAGAAATTGGACATTCTTCTTGTTCTGAATTCTTTGACTGGAATCATAACTATGATTTCACATCAGTTTAGGCTTGCTTGGAAGAGTTAAAATCTTTAACAGAGAGGAGTAAATAATATAGATGCAATAGTCAGATGTTGCTTTAAGCTGTCCTACTTACAAATATAACAATATCTACTCAGTCAGGAAACAGAGACAATGCACCCTTAGCTACCCTTGTGTAGCTGAGTCTGAAGAAGTGGAAGTCAAATGCTTAGAATGGTAAACTGCCTAAGCTAAAACCATACTGGAAAAAATGGTTGTTGAATTAAAAATACATGTGAACGTACTGGTTTGTTTGGTACAATATTTTGAAAATGCAAGAGGGACACATTTGTCAGATTATGCGTTATTAGAAAGTGTATTATATCCACCTCTTCACCCACGTATAATATTGTAATTATTAGCTAGCTAATAATTGTAATGCTATTATGACCTCCTAACAGTGAAGTTTCTTAGATAAAGGGCACTGTGCATACAAAAGGTGCAAAAGTAATCTTTTGTGTGTATTATTTTCAGTGAAAATAATATTTTCCAGATCTAATTACAAGATAAGAGTATCTTGGATCATGAGGACTAACTGTAGATGCCAAACTAATATAACAATAATAATTACAATCTTGCACCTTTTTCAGAGCACAGAAGGAACAGATCCTAGCTATTTCCAGCACAGAGCATCTTGGAGTCAACAGTTGAAGAAATGAATTAGTACACCTCTTCCCTGTGCCTGAAATTCATTACTTTTCCTTAATAAGGTATTTCTTCTTATAACTATTTCCCTCTTTCAGAATAATAATGAATTTCCTAAAGTCAAAAAGAAAAAAAAAAAAAAAAAAAAAAAAAGCTCTGTATTGCTGTGTAGAAACAGTACATTAGACCTTGTGACAGAGAGATACTATCTGTCTAAGGAATGGAAATAACCTCAGGCTTATTGGATCTCAAGATTGCCTTAGGAAGAAGGAGCAAATGGACTTGGTGCAGATGTTTCAAAATAGAGATAAAAAGCTGGGTTTATATCAGAAGAAAGTTAAAAGCTATACTGAGGTTCCAGAGAATGCACTTGCTGTTGATGGTTATATGTTGATATACTCAGGAAAATTGTAGAACACCAAAAGTGTTTAAAAAATGCATCTTATTACAAGTACAATGCATCTTATTTTACACTAAAAGAAGATAACAAAAAATAAAATTCAATGAGAAGCATCTCACATATCATGGATTTTTTAGTGTCTTTTTTCATTGTCTATGTGAGTGAGCTGTCTAATTATTCTTTATCTAGCTTTAAAACCATATTTTCACCTGAATATTTTTATTTTGTGTAACTCTAATTAAATTCCTTGATGGAAAAGAGAATACTGAGGAGAGACCTCGTTAATGTATACAAATATCTGAGGGGAGGGTGTTGAGAGGATGTAGCTGGTCTCTTTTCAGTTGTGCCTAGTGACAGGATGAGAGACAGCAGGCACAAGCTGAAGCACAGGAAATTTTGGCTGAATATGAGGGGGGGCACTTGTTTACTGTGAGGGTGACAGAGCACTGGAACACGTTGCCCAGAGGTTGTGGAGTCTCCTTCTCTGGAGATATTCAGAACGTGCCTGGATGCCATCCTGCGCAATGTGCTCTAGGTAATTCTGCTTGGCAGGGGTGTTGGACTGGATGATCTTCAGAGGTCCCTGCCAACCTCGGCCATTCTGTGGTTCTGTGATGAGGGGTGTACAGTATCTGATGATGTTTCTTGTGTTGTCAGCCTCTTCGTTGCTGACTGTTTTGTTTGTAGAGATGTTTTGCTTTTTAAGAGTCATCAAACGTTTCCTTTCTTTTGCACTGAGTAGAAACCTAAATTAGTGACATATGAATAACCTTTACTTTGGAAGTTAGTGTCCTTAGGAATAATATGTACTAATATAAATCAATCAGTTTCATGAAACCTGTACCAGAAAACAACAAGTGCTGGTAATTCTTTTAAAAGTCTTTTTGAAAAAGACTTATAAAGTTAATATATCTTCTACCCCTAGGGTACTGAACAGCTTAAAACACAATAAGGCTTAACTTAACAGTTAATTGCTCTTATGTTTCGGTGCACCAGCAAATCCATCAATATAAAGATAGTAGACTCTGCATTCTTCAAAGGTCTTCTCTTTTGTCTCAATTAAAATGCGATCAATATGGTCTCAATTTCACCAGCTTGCATGCAAGTTACCAGACAATTGTGTGCATCCCTATTTGCCACTGTGCTCCACTGGAATAATTCAAGAATCCATCTTGTGACAACCTAGAGATGTTTTGTCACCTGTATATTTTTATAAAATAGTAGAGATTTTTCTTTGCCAATAAGTACCAGGTGTCAAGAGCTCTTGGGATTAAGGGTAAGGTTGGATTACTTCCATAAATATGAAAGAAAAAGGTGAACAAATGATTTTCACAGTGGTTAGAAAGGAAACATCAGCATTCTGAAAATCTAGGAACACTAAATTGCAATTAATAGAATCAATGACAGTGACAGTATCTTGCTGACTGGTAACCATCTACTTTCCTATTGACTCCCTTCTAGTCCAACTGAGGGCTGTCTTGCTGCTGCACAGGTTTCATTCCTTTGGAGAAAGATTTCATTATCCTTTCACTTGTTTTTATGTCACTCTGCTGCATGTCCCAACAAAAAAAATATCCAGTGAGAAGAAGGATATGAGAATATGCGTCTTAGTAATATGCTTTGCACACAGCATAATTTTTAAAAGAATGATTTATAAAAAAATGAAGTTATTATTTTGTCTATGATTTTTGGGACATTTCCAAGCTGAAAAACACTGGAGAGAAGGTTTTTTGAATACTAACAGTATTTTTGGCTACTATACAGTAAACATCCAGTGGTCTGTGATGTAATCTGTGGCATTTATTGGCAGCTTGCCAGAAGCTGTATTGCAATTTTCAAAATATACATTTTTTTTTTTTCTCTAAAATGGATTTCACAGGAATGCATTTACTATTTTAAACTACTTTTAATAGCATATATAGCTAGTCAATTATAATAATAAAAGTAAAGGTAAGTATGTAGTAGTCTGTTTTATTCATTCATGGTAATACATTACAAGTTACAATATGTATTCTAGGTCTTTTGCAGGTATGCTTTCTGCTGACACTTTATTCCTTTAAATCAAAATATTTTAAATAAGAAGAGTCAATTTCCAATTCATTGTATTTATCAAAGTATTTTTAATCTAGTCATGAACAATGTGTTGAACATATTTTGTAAATGTTTCATGAATTTCTTTTCTGTAATGGTTGTGAAGTACATAATTAGATGTAATGTATACCAACAGGCAAGCTGCAACTTCTAATATTAATTAATTTCTCATTTTTTAGTTATGCTTTTGACATTTCATTGACCTTTCCAAAAAGAAACAGTGCCATACATGAATGTACTTATGTCTACTTGTTGAAGTTATAATTTTCTCAGCATTGATTGAAATGATATGTTAGAAATGCACAATTAACAGATTTTTATTTTTCCTTTTATGTTTGTGCTAATTAGTAATAGGATATTTTTTTAAATATGACATTTATTCATTACTTAAAATGATGGGAGGAAAAAAACTTGTGAGAGAAGCCAGGTTCTGTATTGCAAGTTTCTCTTGCAAGACTGCTGTGTCTTTCATGGAGATGTGGGCTGTGAATTCACATATATTTCAGAGAAATCATGTCTTCCTAAAATCAGTTTCTTGTATACTTGTTCAGCTCTCCCTCAAAGATATAATTATATGGGGTTTGGGCAGAAGGCATACTGATGCAGTCAGATGAGCTGACTATGTACTGATTTTGCATGTCAGAACAACTGAGACTGCAGTGCCTCCTGGTTTGTAGGGTCACTCTATTGTCTAAGGCATTTTTGGAAGTTCTATTGTCCAGATTAATCATCTAAATCTTATATATCTGTCCTTGGATGTGTTACATGTTTATATTCTTATTATCCTGCAAAGTTTTTACCTTTCTAGGGGCATGGAGCAATGAGTATCTGAGAATTGTTCCTACTTCTCACATGCTGCATGGGAATAATTCTTATCTATTTGGTGGATGTTACATTAAGTGTCACAATTACATAGGGAAATGTTTTCTAGATATGGAATTTAATAATTGATTCTCAGTCTAGTTTGTAGTCCCAAGCCTTGCCTTTTCTTAATTTCGTGCTTTCATCTATCTTCAGAATTATCATGCCAGAGAGCTATATAATTCTCTGTAAATTTCACCTATAAAACTAGTTCAGACAGTTCTTTACTAGACAGTGATTTTTCTGTTTTTCTCTCTGTTGCTCATTTTCATTGTCTACGCAGAACAAAAGCCTTGTTTGAAATATAAACTACTGAAGCTGGAAAACAATCATGTGAGAGGTACTATATTTTATTGGTGCAAAATGAATAGAGAAACTGAAATCTTGAACTTTTCTGTTGAAGAAAAGAGAGCACAAGTAGATGTGAACAACCCCGTTGAACTGTTTTCAATATTAGTTCCATTATAGAAATTACCAGATTATGCCCTGTTGACACTTTGTCTTCTTTCCAGGTGTAACTGGGAAAATATTTCAGTAAAACGTCTATGGAACTCTTTGTGCCCTAATACAAGCTTTTCTGTAGTGCATTTTAACTTTTCAGGTCATTCACACGTAGGCATTTAAAATAAAAATATGCATAATTTTGTTTTCTTGCATACATTTTGTTAATCTTACATTACCTAGAAATTCTTAAAAGTTCTTTCAGTGAAAAAAAAGGTCTTTTGCATACTGTTGTAACTGTGAAACAAGCACACATTTTCATTTTAGCTAGACAGTTATATCCGGACTACAGATTTAAACTTGCCATTAGTACATATTGGATGACTCATTCTACAAGCATCATCTCATTTATTTCCTTCAACATGTGCTTTATTTCTGCTCACAGGAAACTTATATTCCAGAGAAAATTGGCCACTGAAAGCAGAAGACTGCCTAGAACCAAAGGCTATTCAGCCGGGGAAAGCTAATCATTCAAGGTACTCTCCATTTTGTACCAATTACAGAGAGGACAACCTATGGCTGGGCTCTTAAGCAGCTCAAAATCTCTGTCTTGTGACTATGAGGGAGAGAGGAAGACTAGGTTCTGCCAGAATATATATATATATATATATATATATATATATATTTGTTTTTTAAGTGAAGTTTAGGGGGGGTTTCCAAATGATTTATTTTCAAATTAGTTGGGCTTGAAATACAGCTGGCATTTTGTGTGAAGCTTAGTTGCCCTTTTCACTCCTGTACATTACACTCAAAATGTATAGAGCACACTGGTTTGTGGGGAAACAAAAACAAAACAAAACAAAACAAAACAAAAAATAGCAAACAACCCTTTTTCCATGGAAGCATTAATGAAGATATTGTCTTCTTGTTACTGATGTATAATTAAAAATTATGTTAACTTGCTTAAAAAGATAAATCTACTTATTTGAGTGTAATTATTATTAATCTTTGTCTCTTTGGAGAGTGATGCAAGACCAAAAACATCAGTTTCACTATAATGTCATATGGCAAGATACAGGGATGCTCCAGAATGTGAAGATCTGTTTTCTCAATAGATTCTTAGTATGAAGCTTTTTACCATAGGAAATTGAGAATCTGTAAGATGTTCTAGAAGTAATTGTATATTCTAAGTATTGTGAGTAAGACTGTATGATCTTGAAAAGTATCAAAATAACAAGTCTTTGCTTTGTCTTACACATGACAGATATTTTAAAGCTTTCTTTCAGCAAATAACTGGGATTGTAATTCTAACGTGTATCCAAAGGAACAGTGAAGTATGATTTTCTGAACATTCTTATCAAATATTTGTTTAAAACATAGCTGTACTTATAAAGCCATATTCACATTATATCACAGAAGATGTTGGGTCACTGTCTCTGGAGGTTTTCAAAAGACATGTAGGTGCGGTGCTTAGGAACGTGGTTTAGTGGTAGACTTGTCAGTGCTAGGTTAACAGTTGGATTTGGTGGTCTTGGAGGTCTTTCCCAACCTAAATGATTCTGTGATTCTGGGAAGATGACCAGAATTATAGATGTATTCTTCTTGCCTGTCAAGTTTTCTTAAAAATGAAATCAAGATTAATCATTTTCAGTCCTCTCTAAAGATGATAAATAGCATTTTAGGGCATGAAATTGTACAGCTGGTTACTTACAGTTTTTATCTACACCTCAGATAATTAGAAAAGCATTGTACTTCAAAAAATACAGCTTCTCTGAGCTGGAAAGTGAGACATGGAGAACAAACTACCCTGAGCAGTTTAGAGCAGATGATAACAGTGGGATGAACAGTGCTTATAAACAAACAAAAAAATAAAAAATAAAAAAGCATGCTGATATTATTATATATAAACTTTGTTGGTATATTTCCTGAACTCTTTTTCTTGCTATAATAATATTAATAATAATAATAAAGTCAAGCTTCTTGAATATATGGATGCTTTGCAATTTAATTGCCTTTCACTTTCCCTGAAAAAGGGAGAGCTCCTCCCCAGTCCATTTGTAGGGCATTTGTAACAACTACCAAATATTTCTCCAATTTCCAATCAAGTGAACTTCCAGTGTGCAGGAAGGGAACAGTCTTCACTCCCTGACAGAAAAATTCTCTCCCTACCTGTTATTCTGGTGTTCACTGTACTGAAGCTGTGCTTTCACGCTCTTGTGGGTTAGATTTTAAAAAAATAAATAATTAAAGCCCCAAGTCCTATGTCTGTATTAGCCTTATCAGTGAACTATTTCAGGGACAATGTTCAGAGTACCTCCCTTAACCAAAAGCACAGGGAGAAACAGCTCACCTAAAAATCCACCTTTGGGCTCAATGCAGATAGTAAGGAGCAGTCAGTCAAAGCACAAGAAACCAAGTTAGTCATTGTTGCTCCGTCCTTCAGTAGTTTCCCTGTGGTCTTTACCTACCACTACTGAATTTGGAGGTTCTAGCAATTACTGTGATTAACTCTTGGTTGTGTGGACCCTCGTTTAACCACCCCCTCGCCCTTTGTCTTTCAGCGATTTCCAGCAAAAGCATCTGTAGTCAGACATGGCAATGGTAACATGCACTGTCCAGGGCTCCAACAAATGCAGCAGCTCAACTGGAGAGCTAGCAAGCTCCTATTTGGGTTACTGGGATCCAGTCCTAGTTTAAGATTGCCTTTTCAAAACCAAGCACTCTAATTTACTGTATGACAACACCTCCCCACACACTAGCTGAAGTAAACTAACTTGTCAGGTGTAAGCTATAACAGCATAAAGCTTGACTGTTCTTTTATCTTAGTATGAAAATCAGATTGCCAGAGTCTTTCACCTAAAGAAAGGGTAACAGACAGCTAGGCAGCCAGCCTGCAAATTTTCCCACAGCTTATACAACTTTACAAGTTTCCGTCATTTCTCTGAATGCCAGCTGTTCTGTTTGTTGAATTTAAAGCACAATAAGGACAAACAATTGCCAAGATATTTCTCCTTATATGGGTTGTTTTAGCTAAGTAATAGAAGGAAGATATGCAGGGGAATTGTGTAGGCAGTTCTGTGAAAAATGTATATGCTTAAAGTTTGTGTCATTTTTATTTTTCCTAGATACACATCTATTTCACTGTGTGTGCCTGGGATTTCAGAAATTTAATGAATTCAACAATTCTCTTCATTCATAGAAATATTCCTCAGAATGGCAATTAATTTATACAAGGGGGTAGGTTGATTAGGCACACACTTGCCAAATAACAAGGAAAATGTAGGTCCTTGGTTAAAAGCTACACAGCAAAATGAAAGCATTCAGTTCTGCAACATAATTACTATCCTGAAATTTTAGAATAGTGCTCTGGTTATAGATTACTGCTGGTAATATCTTTTCTCCTTTCTAGGTCCAAGCCACTTCAATTTTGTCACGTGAATTGCTGTATCATATCTGTTTGAAGTCTGAATCTGCACGTTTATAATTTTGTGGCTTCTTTGTGACACGTCCTTGGGTGAGTCTACTTCTTTATTTTTTTTGCTTGGGTTGTAATGTTTCTATATGAAAGAAGCTGAAATCTGACTCCTCAGCAAATTGTGCCCTTGCTTGTAAAGCAATCTGGTTCAAAATTAAGCTAAATTTTATTTTATTCACTAATTATATGTAGCAGCCTGGTGGCTGGTTGGAATGAAATTAATTCCCTAGACAAAAATCCCATCAGTCTGAGTGATGGCAGTGTACTGGTGGTTGTCATTGTACATATCTCTTTACCCTTAATGAATGCTAAAAAGAACTTTAAAGTCATGTTCGAACCAAGTAGTAGCCACAACATAAGTGAAAGATAACAACAAAAAAGGAGAAGAAAAAAAAATGCTTTCATCAACACTATTCAAGAATGTCGAGGTGTTTCTCGTTTGAAATGACAGGTTGGCATTCTGTAGTTCATTGTTGACAAGCTGAATTGCAAGTGTTTTAAAACTATGATCAGGTTTTGAAATTGTTGATTCTATCTAAAACTCACTCTCGTTTGTCTGTAGCACTGAATAAATTCATTATTTACTGTAAAAACCATGCTGATTGACAGTTATCCTTATCCAAGAAAACTACATCACAGGAAGTGAGTGTTACCCTTACCATCTGGCTTTTTAAATAATGACGAGAAAAGAAAGTTAGTTACAATAAATGCCCTGAAGGCAAAACCAGGAAGTTTTTTTTTAATGGTTTAGGGGATGGTAGGTGTAACCTGAACTGTAGTGTGTAGCAAGAGAGCAGAATTGAAGGCTGCAGGTTAGCAACAGTGTTTTGTGACAGCACCTGTCTGACAGATGCTTAGGGCAAGAGAAGAGGGTCATTGATCTAAAGGTCAGTCTAAATAAGAATGACAATGTTTTCCTATCCCTTGCTGTGTGAGATTTGGCATTTTAATTCTTCAGTAAATACTTTACTTCTAATCCAGCAGAAGTTTATACTTGAATATTTCCTGTTTTTCTACACATATTTAATAAATGTTTATAAATGTACCTTTGACAAAATATAGATTTAAGTGTAAAGGCAAATAATCATTAATTTAAATACAGCTTTATAGAGGACATGTCATAAAGATACGATTGATGTGCATGCATAGTATTTAGAGGGCAAACGGATTCTTTCATTTGATTAAATTAGTTAGAAGGCAATGGAAATGGCCACATAGGTTCCTCTGAAATAGCATATGCATTAATTTATTGTTGTTACACTAATAGTTACATGATAACATTGGATTTAATGTTCTTGGTACAATCATAGAATGGCTTGGGTTGGAAAAGATCTTAAAGATATCTGACTTCAACCCCTGTGCCATAGGCAGGGATGCCACCCACTAGATTGGGTTGGCCAAGGCTCCATCCAACCTGGCCTTGAACACCTCCAGGGATGGGGCATCCACACCTTCTCTGAGGTGATGGCACAAAGATTTTTCTCTCTGCCTCCCACTGTGTTTTTAGATTAGAAGCAAGAGGAGAATGAAACGTATGTAAACGGCAGCTGGTGGGACAGTTTCTCACTAAATTGACATGTTGCTATTTGTTAGTTCATAGAAGTGGGATGGATAAAATTTATGATCTTCAGGTTTGTAACCTCAAGGCTGATGAGAATGTAAAATTAAGGAAAAAAAGGAAAAGGATAAAATGTTTTAAACTTTCATTTTGTATATTTAGAAATTTACCTCAAAATAAGTGGCACCAGATTTAAAACTTCTGAAAAAAATTGAAATGTAAGACTTAAACAAATTCTTTCTGGCTCAAAATTGATGTATTTCTTTTGTTTTGGTTATTTTTTATGATCTTTTTTGGTTTGGCCAACAAATTTCACAGCAATAACTAGTGCATATTCAAGTTTTTCAGCCTGTGGTTAGCTGGGAGCTTGCCACTCCATTCCTTCAGGTCTTCTGTTTAGCACCCACCTTTTCTCTTGTTGCATCTTACTGAGGTAACTCTTGAATTATATGGAAGCTAGAAAATGTCTTCCTAAGCAGTGTCCGTTTTGTCCCCTACCATCTCCCCACAACATTAGAAATGTTTTCTGGGATGAGCAAAGGCAAATGTTTCTGTCCTTATTTACATCTTTTTGTTTTAGGAATACAACTTCCTGGAAGGAAGGAATTTTCAAGGAGAAATTTTCTGCTCTGTTACTGAAAATTTCCTATTTTAAGCAAAGGAGGTAGTTTTTCAGGGAAATTAATATTTTTTGTTAGCTGTGGTTCAGAAAATCTTTTAAGTGGACACAGCATTACAGCTTGGCTCATTGTTTCAGGAAAGTAGACAACATATGATCCATTAGGAAGAATATTTAAAGCTTGTAGAGTCATCCCCATTCTCTATTTACTCCATTGATTTTTATGGTCTTTTAAATTATTTCTACTCTAACTGTGTTTGGATATCATTCTTCCAGTTCAGAGTATGAATGTCAAAGTCACAGTCACATCACATTTTTATCTCCCTTTCTTTCATTCACATTCATCATTGGATGGCAATACCGCACACTTAATTTTTTGAACATACCTTCTACCTGAAACTTGATGGGAGAGGGAATTTGCTAGGTCATACGAGCTTCTCTTCATATGTACTACAGCTGAACTGATACAGTGTGTTTGTTCCTTCTACCTAGCAAATGCATGCTGTGAAGTTCCTGTGGCTCTGGAATGACTGAAGGTTATGTACATTAAAACCTAGTGCCCTCCATATTTTTACACTTAAGTGACTTTTGCACTTACATTGCACTTACATGCACTTACATACTTTTGCACTTAAGTTCACTTAAGTTAAATTCTTTTCCTAGTTCAATAGGTAGCTTATCTAGTTAAGTACTTTCAAGCTCTCCATATTACATTGCAATAAAAAATATTGTCTAATCAAAATGATATTTCTTGATCAGAACTTCTTACCTTAAATACTCAAAAAGTACTCTTATTTACCCCCAAATCTGTAACTGGTAGCACACCTTGAGTAACAGTGAAAAAAAGTAGGTCATGCTGTAAACTTCTGTTGTTTCTCTAGTACGAGTGAGTGTTCAGTGCCTCTTTAACATGAGTGCTTGTTGTCTGATGCTATTTCTAATTGTGTGTAGTGACACAAAACTTCCTATCTCTGGGCTATAGAAGCAGTTAAAGCCTATTCTTGATGCTGAATCTGAGACCACACCCCTCTGTCAGATTATTTTCAAATTGGCCAATAGGTTAAATCATTATTTTGAGAAGAGATAAAAGCCAGACATACATGCAGAGGTAGAAGAGACAGACATGCCTGTGGAGAGTGTTGACTACGAAAGCCTTTCTACCCTAGGATATCAAGCTAAAACTGAATTCTATTCATAAATATATTATGAGTGACTATTGTTGAACTCTCAGCATACAGTACTGTTTTTATCCCATGAGCAACAGCAGCAAGGCAGGTTCTGAAGTGTTCAGAAAAATGCACCACTGAAAGAATGGATTGAATTTCAGTGTTCAGCGGATCAGCAACCCCCCCCCCAAAAAAAAACCAACAAAACAATACCAAACAAACAAACAAAAAAAACCACACAATGGAATAATCTTTTCAGGTGACTTGTTTCTTCCTGAGATGCATTTTTATAGGAACTCCTCTTCAGTCTTACTGTACTGGATAAAAAACAGTGAGATGTGCAGGTGATCCTGACTGCTGGGACAGGAATCTGTTAGCAGCCTCCTGTCATGTCTGAAGAAGCCTATCTGTACCTTCTTGTCACCTAGCTGGGCAGCTGTTGTGCTGTGTGGTGGAGCATAGTTCCTGGAGCCCTACTGCAGAGGCTTCAGTAGCAGACAGCTTAGCTTCCCTGAAGTGTTGGCTTTGCTGTTCATACTTACCTCTTTTCTTGGTTTGGCAAAGAAGTGTAGACATTCTACCAACATCATACCTAGGATGTGATTTTAAATTCAGGTCAGTGAAGGGATTGGTGGAACTTTATTTCATTTTTTTCATGTAACTTGTTCTAATACTTTTATTAGAACAGAGAAAAATCCAGTGTCAATTCTATTTTTTCTTTGGTAATATGACTGCAACACCTGTGGCTAGCTTTTATGATTGTTTAAGCATGGACAATAGCAGCAGTAAAGCTGTGGTTTGTCAGTGCTGACTTAATCAGCCATGTGAAGTGTATAACTTCCCTTAAATTTTCCTGTAGCTTCCTGCAAGAGCAATTGGTTGGGTAGAGAAATTGAGGTAGCATGACTGCTGTTTTCAGAACCTGGGTGATTCTGGATGCTATAGTGTTGTGCTGTTGCTGTTGCCTTGTCAATTAACCTATAAGCAGCTTCTGAGATCCAGACCCCACAACTAAAGCACTTTTAAAGAACCAGTGTAATCTAAGTTCTATATGCAGTTCAGTGTAATCTAACCTCTATATAGCTCAATTGTTGCCTCAGAATATGTGATCAGCTCAGTTCTCAGTATGGTGCTTCCTATGTATATTGATGACAGCAATATTCTCTTTACCCTTATCTTCTATGTCCTTCAGTGATCTCAGTGATCTTGAGACATTTTCCAAATATTTGTCTCCTCTTCCATACTCTCCCAATGACTTCAGCAGACATCCAGGTCTGAGTGTTATGTTGAAGGTGGGTCTTTTATTGATTTTTTCTGCAGAGATTTACAGCAAGGCTTGACCTCCAATAAGTCCTTTTTTGCAGATAATACAATGTGGCAGATTGAGACAAACAGATGATTATATGGAGTGATTTTTCTGAGGAGAGAGGGAATAAAACATTCTTCACTTAGCCTGGAAAAGATTACCCTCTTCCCAGGAAGGTCTGACATTTTATTTTATTTTCCTTAAGTAAACCAGAATTCTGAAATTTTGCTGGAGAGACATGAATTGTGGAAGGTGGGGAGCTTAAATCAGGCTCTGAATCTTAGGAAAAAAATAATATATTTAAAAAAAATTAAAAGATAGTGCCTTTTTGCTAGTGCCTTTCTAGTGTAGTTTGCTGTGTGGAGACAAATAGCAGAGCTGTACCTCTAG